GTCCAGAGAAACAGAACCAATAGGAATATCTAGATATAAAGAGGAGGGTTATGGGGGGAATTGGCTCATATGACTGGAGGCTGAGGTGACTCATGATATGTTGTCTGCAAGCTGGAGATCCAGGAGAGATACTGGTGTAATTCAGTTAATTCAGTTTAAGTCCAAAGGCTCAGGAATAAGAAGTTTTTATACCCAAGGACTGGAGAAAATGTTAAGTGCCAACTCAGTAAGAAAAATCTTGTACTTCCTCTGCTTTATCTGATCACTACAGATTGGATGGTGCCCACCCATATCTGGTAAAGGTGGATCTTGTTTGCTCAGTCTACTGATTCAAACACTAATTTGTCCAGGAAATACCTCTCACAGACATACACTGAAATTGTATTTTACCTGCTTTCTGGGCATCCCTTATCCCAGTCTGTTGACATAAAAAATTAACCATCATAATCTTGATTGAATGATCAGGCCTTTAGTAACTAAGTGATAATTGATGATTTTATTTCTATGTCAGTTGGTCTAGATGTGTCCTTGAGAATTATTAAACACATTAATTTTTAAATACAGTATTCTTTAAGCTCTTAGAATATCTGAGAAAGAAGCAACTTAATTAAAAACCAACACTTGTGATTAGAAATGTGTTGTTTTCCTGTCCATGGAGTTTTAAAATATGTCCTCTTCCATCCAAGTTGCACAAGTCTCACTCAGTTCTTGAAATCTCTCATGAATAGCTATTATTTCGTTGAGGGGTTCCTCCACCAGGATCTTACAAGGTGAATTTTGTGTCTGTTAGACCATCCCAAACAAACCATAATAATTTACTCTAGCCAACATTCCATTATGGGTCATCAGATAAATGAAGATGGTGATAGAAAGTTATATATCTTTTCTTGACCTGGAGTATTTGAAATTTCCCATCTCATGGAAAGTTTTTTTTTTTCCCCCATCAATCTAGTGAGTGTGTGGTGCGGTTTACCTTATATGCCCAAGTACATACAAACTTAGGTGAGGGAAACTAGATAAAATGTATAAAGTTTATCAAAACATTAGCACCAGGAGGTAGAGGATGAGGTAATCATTACAACATAGTCTCTATTTTATATCACCTCAGTTATCTGAGTAGAAATATCAGAATTTTTTTTCATACAAAACTCAAGGTGACTTTGTTCTGCAGGTTATATTTTAATCTCTAGATTAGATGTGTGAATCCAATATAATCTAAAAAAACTTATATTGTTTAAAAGAATTGATAAAGTTTATGTTTAGGTGAAGTTGAAAAAGGTCAACAGAATTCTGCTTCAGCATGCTAAACTTAATATATATGCACAAAAGAATGGCAACAGAAATGTCCCTTTTCCTACAAAATGTTTGTTTATTTACTATTTTACAGTCATAGGGGAAAAGTCCTAAATTTGAAATTGTCAGTAGTGTCATTTTTTATTAATAGATTCACACCATACTCCTATATTAACTTTTAAACATATTTTCTGACAACTTGTAGGCTGATACTGATGACCTGGTTTCAGCAGTGAATAGCTGCCACTCAAATTTCTCAAGAGAGAACAAAAAATTCATATTTAAAAGTACAAAATTTTTCAGTATAGTCTAACAAGATGTTTATGGAGAGAACTATGTAAATTATTATTGTTTTTAAATATGTCTGAAAGATCTCTGTTAGAAAATACTCAGACAGCAATCTCTTAATACAAATTGAATCACCAATAGTGTAGTCATACTGTGACATTATCAAAGCATGCAAGATAGAGTATTCCATGCATTGAAGAAGATACCATGTTTCAATTTATATAGCAAACATTAATGTATAATAGCTTAGTATAAACCAGACTGATATGGAACAAACAGTTCTCTTAAAAAAAAAAAGCGATGTGAAAGGAAGCAGTGAAGCAACAGAAGCTGATAATTCTTCATAAGGCATTTTTATTTTATTGAAACACACCCTTTATTTACAATTAATTGCCTGAGAGTTGGCATTACTGATACTGAGTTTATGTGTTGGAAAGGGAAGGGAGGGCAGGTCCTAGGATCAGGGAAAGGTGTGCCCAAAGACAGCACTGAAAGCCCCACATCTACCTACATAAATCTTACATCTGTCTCAGGAGTTGTTAGGAGAAAACGAGGGCAGGAAAACGGGCGAGGCATTATTATCCCCATCGTATAGCTGAGCAAAATAATCCTACACACAATAAAAGATAATAGGAGAACCAGAGGGCACCTCCCTATCCTTTGACAGATGAGGAAACTCATCCAGGAGCTGACAGGACTTGCCAAATTCTCACAGTCAGAGCTGAACTGGAATCCAAAGGCCAGCACCACCCTGTTCTCATTCAACTGTGTCTCATTAAAAAATGCATGTGTGGTTTACCTATGTGATAAACCTGCACATCCTGCACATATATCCCAGAACTTTAATTTGATTTAAAAATAAAATAAATGCATTTTTTTGCACACATATGTTTATTGCAGCACTATTCACAGTAGTAAAGACTTGGAACCAACCCAAATGGCCATCAATCATAGACTAGATAAAGAAAATGTGGCACACATATACACCATGGAATACTATGCAGCCATAAAAAAGGATAAGTTCATGTCCTTTGCAGGGACGTGGATGAAGCTGGAAACCATCACTCTCAGCAAACTAACACAGGAACAGAAAACCAAACACCCAAACACGGCATGTTCTTGTCATAAGTGAGAGTTGAACAATGAGAACGTATGGACACAGGGAGGGGAATATCACACACTGGATCCTGTTTGGGGGCTGAGGGCTAGGAGAGGAATAGCATTAGGAGAAATACGTAATGTAGATGATGGGTTGGTGAGTGCAGCAAACCACCATGGCATGTGTATATCTATGTAACAAACCTGCAGGTTCTACACATGTATCCCAGAACTGAAAGTATAATTTAAAATATGCATTTATTTTATTTTACTTTTAATTCATAAGGCAATTTAATGTGATAAGAATTTATATTCTTTTAGTCACAAAAATATTTATAAAAAGCAATAATTGTAGAAGCATGAGAATTTACTGCAATGAACTGAACAAAATGCTTAAAATTCAAAAATGCAATTTACTCCAAAGAACTTAGAATTAAAAATGAAAAACTACTCAGAATATACATATTTACACTTATCTCTTGTAGAGCATATGTTTCCTTCCAAGCTATGCAGGGATTTACCATTTGCCATGTTTTCACAGATTAAACATTGTTAAATGCTCCAAGGCACAGTTGATAGCTACTTTCAAGATTAAAACTAATAAAAAATCTGTTTTAAATGCATTCTTATTATTTGACACTTTAGTGGCTCTAAATCTTATAAAGACAGTCAATTTTATTCCTCTTTACTTCAATATTATAAATGTCAGTGTATTGAATATTAATATAATCAATTGCAAAACATCTTATTCAATTATCTTTTTAATTCTATAAAGTAATATAGTAGATACCTTTACAAAGTTGGCAGAGATATTAAAGTCTTAAGTATTCTTCTTACCTCACTTTTCCTCTTCTATGTACAATTATGTGTTTATATTTTTATCACTTTTTGCCTTTTTCCAACTATTCCTTTTAAAAGCAAACAAGAATTATAAAATATATAGGGTACTCTGTGTGTAACTTTAAGTTTTCTTCCGTGTCTTAGTAGCAATAATATTTCATCTGGAATTCAGGGGTGTAATATCTTAAGTGGCATGTCTATACAATTTCCTTATGGTAATTACACTTTAAAATTATAATGCATTCATTGTTACTACAAACTACAAATAGGCCAACTGTATTCTGATTTGTTTATGCTTATTTTAATAATCTTGGAAAACATGATTTTTATGTACAAGTTATTTTTTCTTGGCCTGTCAGGGCTGATATTAACATATATACTATATGTTTATACTAAAAGTAAGCTCAATTCTTAAAATACTTTTATCCACTCCTCTAAAACCCAAAATCACTTCTGCAGAAACCTATCAATTAATGGGCTTATATCCAAATATTCAGTATAAGACATCAAAATTTAGTAAGTTAGGAGTGCATAATTTGATTCAGTAGAGAATCACGTTACATAGATATTGTATAGATACTTTACTGAGATTTTTTATTTTTCTTATAATGGATTCATCTGCTTAACAGTGTTCTGGGTTACAATTATTGTGTTCATGTCTTATATGGAAGAACAGACCCAGAATTACTTTATGAGAGATATCTTATTTCTAGAAAGCCCTCTGTTCAGCTATGGAAAGAATTTTGAAGTCTAGGCCCTTAAATGAACTACAGAAGATAGCCACCTTCCTCCTGCTGCCCTTTTTTCCAGCTCAGCTTCTAGCTGGGTTTCAGTTTTTTATCTTAAAAAAAAAAAAAAGTGCAATTAGTGCCTACCTCATAGGAATACTGTGCTGATTAGATAAAATATTTGAAGCACTATGTGCCAGCCAGTAGGTAGCATTCAGTACATTCTCAGTAATTATTAGCTGTTTTGGTAACTGCATATTAACATAGTTAAAGCTCTAAGAAGTCCTTTAGTAAAGACATTTACTTTGCTTGGTTTTATCTCAACATTTCCTTATCTTATTAGAGCCTACGTACAATCCACTATTGACTTAGGAAACAGACTATTTGACAGCTGTGCTGCCAGCCTGGGCAGGTTGTTTTGCCCTTTTTAGGGGTGTGTGTGTGTGTGTGTGTGTGTGAGAGAGAGAGAGAGAGAGAGAGAGAGAATTGCCATTTGTCTTTATGTCACAGGCCGAGTTGAAACATATTTTATAAAAACATCCCAATGATATTTCCTGTTTTAGATATTGAAGAGCTCAATTTGGTGACATTGCCCCCAACATTACACATTATGTCCTCTTTATAGGAATTCTCTGCATTAATTGTTCCTCTATATCAGGTCAAGGAAAAGCAAATAGTCTCTTTATGAGGTAAGTTTTTAAAATTAATTTTTAATAGACTACAAACTATAAGCAAATAATTTAGTCTGTGTAGTAAAGTTTTGTGTGTTTTTTTCTTTTTCCTTTCATCCTTACGCAGCAGCCATGCTAATTGTCTCTGTATCATTACAGTTTTATTATTGTGCTACTGAAGCAAGCATGCAAAGTCATTTTTTAATGATACCTTTAACATCTACACTACCCAGAATGAAAATAACATTTTATTCCTAGTTTCTAGCAGAGGACCTGGCAACTAGTAGGAAACCATTAAATGCTTTTCTAATAAAATAATAAAAACAGTTAACAATCATTATATTTATTTTATCTAGATAATTATCTTTGTAGTTATAATGCAAATAGTCTAAGAAAATTACTTACATTGTTTAAAAACAGCAGGTTGTATCATAACATGCACTTGAGGTGGCCTATGAAAATCCAGTCTCTACAGCACTGTGTTCCACCACCTGACCTCTTCCCAAAATTACTCAGCTTTGTTCAGGGTTCTGTTCTTCTTTGCACTCAAAGAATCCAAGCCATCCCTGGTACCAGGAAGTGAATTCTGATTTGTCTAAGCTAGTCATGGAGGTGCCATTCTACCAACCAATAATCTTAAAGTATGGGAATAGTCGTAGTTCTGGCCAATCGTATGAGAAGAAAAATATGTTGGGGAAACACTTGGAAAATATTCTTCACTTCTTAAAATCAGTAATCTCTTTTGCTGGTGGTCATTGTTGCCATGTCTGGATATGCTGTCTGGAACTCCGGGTAAGCCAAAGAGCAAAGTCAGTAAGTGTGGGGATTGGTAGCGGGGGAACAGAGATATGGAAAAAAAAAAAAAAACTGTTGTTAATTTTCTTTTCGTGTCACTGGAATAACAAATCCTGAAGTTGTCCTTTCCTGTTATTTTCTGAGTTTCTGAATTAGTGAATTAGTAACTTTTCAAATAAAACCCAAATAAGGCCAGTGAAATGGTGATTTTCTGTTACTTTCAGTCAGAGCATCCTAACTGCCATACTCATCTGACTCCCAACACTTTTTCTTGGAATTTTAAATCACCAAATCTACTTTTTGTATTTTAAACTTGTTAAGTATGATACTTTTATTTTCCTCTTATTTCACTAAGATTACAGATGCTAGACAACCCTTCTCTCAGATTCACTGGCATTTTGTTAAATTGAATTTCTTTTGCCTATCTTGAGAAATGTTAATCCGAATAGAAATGCTCTATTTTTAAACATAAACACGTATTAAAGTTACATTTTTAGAATACATAAATGAAAGGGAACTTTAGAAATGATGAACACTTTGCCCTGATAAATGTCCCACTATTTTCAACTCACGGTGATTTTGTTTTCTTCAACATATGTTAAAAACACAGAACATTTTAGTCTCATACTTTGGCAAATCTCAAGTAAACACTCTAGGTCTGGCAAACTGATTGCAATTGAGATATTCTTTATGAATACCTTTAATTGCACATTTCAAAACTAAGTCCTCCTGGGCCTGAAATTTCTCTCGAGAGAATTTATCATGTAGAATTTAGTAGAATGGGCAGGCACTTGCATTTTTCCTTATTTCTCATTGTCATATTTGCATGTCTCTGTATTTTGGATTTGAACACCCTGATGGAACATGTCTTTACTTTTCTGTTGGTGAAACGTACTAAATAAGATAGAGGCTATTTCTCTGGAGAAAAAAATAAGCCAAGGGCAAAAAAATTTGTTTTTATGTCCTTTCTATTAAGAGAAATCCAGTATATCAAATGTTAAGTAGAGCAACACCTGAAATAAAAATTTGTATTTGTTTAATTTAGGGATTTGAGAAAAGAAAAGAAAAAAAAAAACTCATTCACTGGGAAATTCTAAACTGGTAGCATTTTTATTCAATTGTGACATGATTAATTTTTTATCCCTGCTAAACTTCTTCTTCCAACAATTTCTATTTGCAAATTCAAATGACTGTCAATAGCCTGAAGCATATTTATGTGACCTCCTTTTAATTACCAATTTCACACATAGACAGGCAATTGATGAAAAGCAGAGACAACGACTTTAAATAAAGACAGATTAAAACTTTGTACTTAAGTAACTATGGGAATTACTAATTGAATCAGTAAATAAAAATTTCAATCGCCATTAGGATCTGATGCAATTATTTTCTGTGCAGTTACTGCTATAATGTGTATTTACCTATTGCTAAACATAGTTTCTTTAGAAGTTGGTCAACTAATTTAGAGAGAAAACTTGCATATTCTCAGGGATCCTATGCTATAAAATCAATCAATTATAATTTTTCTCTCCATAAAATTTTAGAATTCCAAAAAATACATTCATAAGAATTTTTAACTATATTTGTTGAAGCCTAAACTTCTGAAGTATACAAATACATTTTTATTTCATCAACTGTCTCCCAAAAGTCATACTATACACAATGTAAATACATACTCATGGCAAACAGTCTGTGTTCAAAATAATTTGGTAATTAATAGCCTAAACAAAGTTTTACTAAAGAACTTCTACTGTAGGACTTCTCTGAGCTTTTAAATTGATAATGCTTATTGTACATATCAAGAAGGGGATAACATAGATAGTATTTTTCATACTTGTTTCACCTTGGAATCCTACTAGCCACGTGCAGGCGTGTGTGTATGTGTAAGGGGGCTGTTTTGTTAGGCATGCATCACTGTGTTTCAAGACATCATGTAAGACACAACTTAGGAATATTAGAAAAAGCATCAAGATGCGTGTCTTTAGCTTATTCTCACACCTTTGGGGAAACCTGAGTTGATTAAATAATGGTGAAATATGTAAAGTTTACTTAATGCAATACATTTGTACATGGCTGTTTTTATTGATTTAAACATTGCTGCAAACTATCACTGTATAATTTTTTATCAATTTATAGTAATATTTTTCCTTATTGAACTTATACAAGGTCTTAATCTCATAAATTTAGAAAGCTTTTGAACCATGTTTTTATGTTAGCACATTTTTTTTAGTGTTTGAAGGAAATATCTTCTCTTTAGTATACTAAGATGTTTATTAAGTGATGGATTCATGTAATAAAAAGATTAATGTTATTTGTAAAATTAAATATCTTGCTCATTTAATCCTATATTTTTGGCACTTGTAATCAAATAAACTGTATAGCCATTACTTACTCCCCCACAATACATCATTTGCTTGTCAAGAGGTATTTTTCACCATAAGCAAATATTATTATAAACAAAATACCTTTAATTTATATTTAACAAAATCACTTACTTTCTTTTAATCTTCTTATTTGTGAACTAACCATCTATCTTCTATCTATTTAGCCATCTATCATAATATCTCTGGTGGAGGAGCACCTCTCAATTTTCCACAAAGGAATAAACCTACTGGAATCATGTTCCTTTTCTCCCAAGAAATTTGGCTTTCTCACTGGGATTGCAGAATTCACTGGTCTGCCCTTTGATCTCTTTGGTCTCTTTTCCTGCATGAACACATTTCATTCGTTTGTTAGAAAATACTTCAAAAAACTTAACATTTTTTTTCCTTTCTAACTTCAGTGATTTGCTTAATACATTATTGAGACATGATCAGCTATAGCAGCATTAGAAAAGAGTTAAAAATCATGCTATTTCTCACCAGGAGGCCTTGATTGAAAACTTCACTGTTGTAACCTCTGTGCCTTTTATTGTACACCAAACAATAACTCCTGGATTGGTTTTCTCTTCTGTAAAATTGGAATCCCATTCACGTGGTGGGGCTTTTTGGCGCTTGTCAATGTGTAGACACCTTGATAAGAATGATGGGGTATTTTCAGAAAGTGACTGCCTCAGAGTGAACCACATTAAACCCTTCTCCATGGAGTTTATGTAGAGGGAAGCAGTGGGGAGAGCACTGCCTTCTGGAGCAGAGTCCTGAAATAGACCTCTGTCTAAAGGGAGAGCTTTTATTAAGAAAAAAAAAATATATAGGCTGTGTTATAGACAATTCTAGTCTACAAAATAATAGAATGAGATAGTCAACTGTTCTTTCTTATTCTTTCTTGTCCCCACTGCCTTCTCTCTTGTTTCTCCTTGTCAAGCCTCCCTATATCTGACTCCAATCTCCTTATCCCTCTGTTTTTACCATAGTTCTTTCTCATTATGTTACTACTGTTTTACCAGTGTATTAAGATATTACTTATTAAAATATTGTGTTTTACATGTTGCCCATCCTAGGTGAGCTCATATGGCAGCTTCCAAAGGTAAATAGTAGGTAGGCTGAACCATAGTGGTGAAGACCAGAAGGTAGTTACCAAAGAGTGACCAAAATTATGTTCTGTGGATATGCTTGTGACATCCATAAAGTCAAAATGGAACAGGCTTGGCCAAGGTACAGAGTAAAAGGGAACATGAAGAAAAAGCAGATTGTGCTATCCTAACATGTCAAAATAAAGTTTATAAGTCAGAGAGTCCAATACATGCACATTTAACAAATGCATTTAACAAATACTTGTATCCTGCCCAATGCTCTTGGTATTAATACATAGTGAGATACTGTCTCTTGTTTCTTGGAATGTGTTCTTTAATAAGGGATAAATACAATAATCACAGAAACAAATGTAACAAATGTAAAAATGGAATTTATAACTGAGATGAGCAAAGAGATATAAGAGATGTAATGAGATCCCATAACACAAAAACTGACCTAGTCAGAGAGGGAGAACAGTTTTGTTTAAACTGAAACCTGTAGGGAAAGCAAGAAAACTAGATAAAGAGAAGTGAATATTACAGGCAGATTAACAGCAGGTGCAAAGGCTCTCAGTTTCTCACATTTAAGTTTGAAGAGTCACTAAAATGCCTGAAGCAAGATGTCAAGTAGAATTTATTATATAGAGAGAAATATAATAAAACTATATAATATGTAAAATATATGTTAAAATATATGTTATACGTGCTACCCATCCTAGGTGAGCTCACATGGCAGACTCCAGAGGTAAATGCTAGTAAGACTGAACCACAGTAGTAAAGATGAGAAGGCAGTTACTGAAGAGTAACCAAAATTATGTTTTGTCAGTGCTTGCAACATGCCTGTGTGTGTGTGTATACACGCATATGCATTTAGATAGACAGATAGATAGATAGATAGATTTTAAAGAAAAAATAAAAGGTATCAGATTGAAACTTTCTCA